ATCACCTTGTCCCCTCCCTTCTCCAAGCCGAGCAAGGTGCAGAGGTCCCTGAGCGCGGCGACGGTCCACTTCTTGGACTCTGTCAGCTTCTTCATCCTCGCGTCCTTGCCGTCGTCGTCGGGGAAGCCGGAAAAACTGGTACGGGACCACGGGACACGGGACACAGGACACGGGGCACGGGGCACGAGACAAGAGTCACGGGACACGGGACACCCGACACGGAACACCGGGCACGGGACGCGAGAACTACTACGGGAAGAAAGGGAGGTCGGCATCGAGGTAAATGATAGAATACTTACTACACCACCCCAGGCCAGTGTGTCCCCAAGTCCGACCGTTGTGCCGGTTCGCGTGAAACGTTCGAAAAAGTGCGAATAGCGACGGCAAAGAGGGGCGCAGACAATCAACAACGACGGAGGTGCACGCGGCATCGAAACGACAAAAACGACGCCGAATAGACAACTCCCCCCGAAATGAGAACGATGGCGGTGTGACATGCAGCGGCGGGATAGATACATAGATGGCAGAGAGAGAGGGAGAGAGACAGAGAGCAAGGGAAAGGGAAAAGAGTGTGCGTTTGTGTGTGTGAGAGAGAGATGGAGAGAGAAAGAGAGAGCCAGAGAGAGCCGAAACGCTGAGAAGACAGAGGGCTGGTGTCTAGGGTGGCCATACTACCACAACGGGCGGGTCACACTTCAAGCAAGCTATTCGCAGCAGGTGTCACCTGCGGATGTTCTTCTTTCTGACGGTCTTCTTGCCGACGCCTCCGTAGAGGAACGCGTGGAAAGCCTTGAGCAGGTCGTGGTCCGCATCGATCTTGTTCAGGTTCACAGGCACTGCAGGGTCCGGGAAAGGTCCCAGCAGCCACGAAACCACGCCCGAGACAAAATAGCAGCAGCAGCAGCAGTCAAGACGTTGTTCGTGGTTTGCGCACGACTTCCAGATCGGAAGCAAAAAAAAATCTTGCGGTTAAACAGTCTCGCTGCGGCACAACTGCCATGGGCACAGTCTGGTGGTGCATCTCGGTCAATCTTACTGCGTCCGCAAAACTGAAACATATACCCAAAACAAAAAAGAAACACACATAACCTACGAAGACTCAACTTACAATCATATAGGGTCTTGTTGACCGATGCTTACGGCAGAGGAAATACACACATGCCGTGGTTGAACAAACAGCGGACGACGTACAAAAGACTACTCCAAACACCATCAAACCACTTAACCGTGGAAAAAACCGTGGTACAACTCCTGTGCGACCCACTCACCGATGGGGATGTCCGCCAACTTCGTCCCAGAGCCCTGCAAAAAACGAGAAACGCGAAGGCCACGGAAAAAGGGAACAGCAAAAATATAAAAACAACGCAGGGTGTGGAGGGTGGTACCGCAGCACGCTTGGGGATGCTCATGCCTGTGTTGCCATGCGCAACGGGGAACACACAGAGGGATCCGGCCGAGTAACCGTCAAAAGCAGTAGAACCATGCGGATTGAAGAGACCGGCACAATTGATGTATAGGGAACGAATTTGCTGCGGTGTCAGGGCTCGAGCGAGGAACGGGAGAGTGGCTGAGAGGACAGGGAAACTCAGAAGAAAACAAAACGTCGTCTGTGAGGAAAAAGATAATTGGCAAATAATCATTGGTGGAGAAGGTCCCTCCCTCCCCCCCATTGGTGGGGAACGTCGACCAAGACATAGGACGGTAGACGACGAAGATGACAAGTTCAAATGTGATTGCGGCTTCGAATGCGGAGACCGTGTTCATGTAGTCGGGGAATGTCAGTTGTACAAGAAGGAGAGGGAAGTGTACATGACCGAGTTGGGAAAAATACAAGGCAGGTACAGGGAAATATTTGAGGCATGGAATAGAGAGGAAAGGACGGTAGCTGTAGTGGGGAGTAGGAAGTGGTTTGAAAAGGCGGGAAGGGATATCGTTGGGATAGACAGACTAGGGAAAGACATTTTGAGCCACCTTCGGCAAAGTAGGAAGGAACGATTGGCCATCGGTGATCGGTCCTGTGGGAACAATGCTCCGTCTTCTCGAGGACGCGTGGTCAATGGTCTATAACCGCTAAGGCATGCAAAACATAAGAGTACGCCCACCCCCCCCCCCCCCTCTCTCCCACACCCTCTGCCAGAGACGTGACTCCAACATGGCGCGGGGGGAAATAGGAGGGATATTCCGATTCACTTCCTCCGCGTAGCGTTCGGAAGGGCGTTCCCCATCGTTCTTCACGCGGCGCAGAAGGTTGGGCGTCGTCGAAACCCCCAGCACGTTGGACTATTTAGAGGAAGTCACCTGTTGCCGGGCCGGGGCGCTTCTTCAGCTTTTTGTCACAAGGGGGAAGGGAACGCTAAGTTTCCAAACCGATCTTTACGAGCTCTCGACCAAGGGTGACTAAGGGGTGCCGTGTGGTGAAGGCGGCGAGGGACATGGGCCGAGTGAACATCTTGGCGAGGTCTGGAAACGGAGTCAGCTTGTAGGTTCTCGAGGTCGAGGATGGCCTTGGCGTTCTTGTCGCGCTTGGAACGCAGGACCTTGAGCTCCTCCTCGCGGGCGGAGACTTCGTGCCGATACTCCGCGTCGACGAGATCGTCCTGCGCCTGGAGGGCGGCCGCTCGATCGGCGTCGACGGCCGCGCCGCTCGCCAGACGAACGGCGTCCGAGCAGGCGGTCAAACGCGCCTCCGCAGACATGACGTTCCCCAGCGCAACGGGGACCCACCGCGGGCAGGGGAGGGGTGGTGCAGGAGGGGCCGAAGCCGTGGCCGAAGTGGAGGACCACAATAAGCGGGCAACACCATGAAATAATTGCTTTTCTATGTCTTAGGACTGTTATCTGGGGAAGAGATCTTGGTATATTTGTTTTTGTAGGAAAAAGAGAAAGGCCGCAGCAAGCAGAGATGTTACGCACCCTCTCGTGGTTTCCCCCAAAAGCAGTACCACCATTACATTGGTCCCGGTATAATGCCGGCTTCCCTGTATAATGCCGGTGAAATCGTCTGGCACAGCAGGTGGAATATTCAGAAGGTTGATTCATACTCTGAATAATGCCGGTTGCCCGCTACAACATTGCCGGTGAAGTTGGCTGGATCTCACAGGCACTACTGCTGTATACCGGGACCATTACTTACTATCGCTGAACAACCGAACGGTGAATGCAGCGACTAATATATCTGTGACGCCGAGAATGAGTGTCGATTGTTTTTATCTGTTTTTGTTTTGGTGCAAACAGAAAGGTACCCAAGAGAAGGTGCCAACGGACCACCATGAATGGAACCAGTGCGCGGTGTTGTTGCCCCTCCACCCGCTCCCGGACAAGCTACATGTAGCTCGCAGCATCCTGAGAGTTGCTGCCGGATGATACTGCACCCGCTACTGAGAGAGCTCGAATACATGAAGAATGCAAAGTAGTCTTGCATCCGGCGAAATCCATGGGCTGAAATCCATGGGAACATCCCAAAACACGGAACATTTTCATTCTTCCGCGAACCATCGGTCAGACATCAGTGTCTTACACAGCCGCTTGCAATGTACTTCGTACAGCAGTACATTGGTCTACAACAGACCTTGGTTGGCTCTGAACTTGCTCTGAAGGACAATCCTTGTATAAAGTACCACTTTTGCTGTACAGCTGTAGCAGTTCTGCCTTTTGTGCACCATGTATATACGTTCGTCCAACAGAGATACCGACTCATGCAGGGGCATCAGGTCACGAATACCAAAGTAAGTTTGGCTCACCTCCCATACATAGGGGTCCAACAAAAAAAAATTAAATATTTCGCGCGAAGCGCGAAAAGAAGGGTCGGAGAGAGACATGACAGAAAGCGTATAGATAGATATGGATGGAGCCTACGCCACCACGTAGGTCACCAGTGCGCACGCTCACACCTCACCCGATACCACCAGTCAGTCAGGGGATGAATGGGAGAGCTGTTTAGCTCTCATCATCATCAGCTCAGCGGCAGCAGTGCTGCTGCTGCTGCTGTGCATGGGTGCGCACTTGCTTTCTTCGCTTTCGCTACTAGCAGAGGGCAACAGGCTCGAAAAATTGGGCCCGACCCCTCCCACGACGTGCGTATTTGGCCGCCCATGGCTTACAGTGCTGTGTACGTCTCACTTGTCTCTGTTTCTGGGGTGCATCTGTTGTGGAAGCAAAGATCGGCCGGCAGACGAAGAGACAGCAGAAAAAGATCTCACTTGTGTGCACTCGCATGTTCCCTCGCTTACGCTGCTAGCAGTAGGCCTCGGGGTCTAAAAATAGCTTCCGACGCCAGCCATGATGTGTGTCTTTGGCCGGCCTTGGCCTACAGCAGTGTCTAGGCCTCGTTTTCTCTGTTGTGGGGATACGTCTGTGCGGGAAGCTCCAAAGATCGGTAGGTTGAGGGTGATGCAGACGGACCGCGGGTTGACTTGCGTCGTCACTCGCTTGTGCTGCCGACAGCAGGCAACGGGCCGCAAGAGTCCCACCCAACGCCTCCCATGATGTATGCCTTTGGCTGCCCTTGGCCTACAGCAGTCCGTATACTGCTGTGCTGGTTGTATCGTATGTTGTCCACTGTACGTGATGTGTATGGTGCTGCTGTGCGAGAGGATTTCCGTGATTCTGCCGAGAGCGTCGTGCCCATCGCCCAATCATCTGTCTCTGTCTTACAAAATGTCTTACAAACTCGACAGGTGATTGGTGGGAGTCAGGCATCTACCCGGCTCTACCCCTCTAAAACATAGATAATTGTTGGAAGTTCTTCCGTGTCTTACAAAAAAATTGCCCATTTATGGGTGCTCTGCCGTAAGTTTCGCCTCACCGCGATGATGCCGAAAACAAACACCGACAGCGGGGGATTCAAAATCAAAATTTAAACTGGAGCTTGCGTGCGAAGAGAGCGGGCACAGCGAAATCCTCAGATGTGCTGCTTCCAACACGGACAGGAAAAAGCGTCGTGCAAAGGTAACAGCGGTTACCCCTCTGCATAGTCCATTTACGAGTAGCATTAGAGCGGAAGAGAGAGCAAGAGAGCGAGGGAGAGCGTCACGTACCACCAACGCCTTGTGTGCTACCGCCGTAGATAGCAAACGGTGCGGATCAGCCGACGCGCCACAACAATCCCAGTGAGGGAGGCGCGCAATTCCTTCATAGAAGAAAGAAGCAAGAAGGTGAATGACCCCTCGGAACTTCTCCCTGTACAACGTGCCTCGGCAACCCTTCCCCTCTGTTGCGGGTCCACAGCCGCCCGCCCCCCAAAACTCCCCGGATCCTCTCTGTTGGTCGTGTACAGAGAGTCATCAGAGCTCCAACCGGGGCAGATTTTTCAAAATTCAGCAGCGGTTTTGTGCACATACCTCGTAGAGAGCATTCTTGTCGGTGGCCGCTTTTGCTGTTGGTGGAACGAATCGCTCCACCGCGTTCTTGTCTCGGGAAGAGCGCACAGTGGCAGTCGCAGTGGTGGCCATGGTGCCGCAGTAGGGAGAGAGACAAGAGGTTGTTGGTGGTGTGGCACAAAACGAACGACGTTGCTTGCTCTATTTTTTGCGGGGGCTCTCCAGCTTTGTAAATATTCGTCAAGGGGGTGTGGTATCTTACGCAATTGCTCTGCCTCGATATTTGCTGAAAACCAAATCTCCCTTAATTAAGTGTGCGATTCGTTGTTCTGCTCTAGTACGCTGCGCTCGTCGCAAACTCTGAGTCGGTCGTCGGGCGCGTGTCTGCCTAGATCCACACCAGCTATAGAGACCTCTCTCTCCAACAGGTAGCAGTTTCGTGTATGATGGCGCGGAGACTGCTGTCGTCTCGAGCGCTGCAGCCGAGTTGCTCCGCAGCGGTGCAACTTGAGCTCTTCCGCCGCGGCCGACTGGGCATCCGACGGCCAGCGCGTTCGGCAACCACGCGAGGCTTCGGGTCGTCGGCGGCCGAGGACGAGCCGAGGTGAGTGGCGTGGTCTGTGCCGTGTGGGAGCTTGTGGACGCATTCGTCCCTTTTTTTTTGCAAGCTCTGGCGCGTGAAGGCTGACATGTTGCTGTTCGCTGTGTACTTCAACAGCTCGGTTGTTGCACACATCAGACCCGTTGTTCCCCTGTTGCAAGTGCCTCCTGGGTTACGCTAGGCGTGTGTCTGGGGGGGGATGAGGACAAATGCATGCAGGCTTGCTGCTTCCTTCGCTTCTCTGTTTGTGCTGTGATTACAGCTGCTTTACCCCGTGCACTGACTCCCCAGGTTGGATGGGAACCTTGCTGTGGGTACAGTGTGATCAGTACACCTTTCTAGGCTAAGTAGATACCGCGCCAGTGAACACCGCCGTAGCTGTCGATTGGATCCGCTTCATTGCAAGACCCTTGCAGCGGTGCGACCGCCCCCGCGTTCGTATACAGCTCTTCGAGCCACGCAACTCCACAGCTGCTGTGTTCGTATTCCTGTAGGTCGATGTACGACAGCAGCCGCTGTGTAGACTAATGCAAAGCAACTGCTGTGGTATTTGCTGCAGCGGCATCAGTTGACGTAGACACAGCTATGTAAGTCCACACACCACCAGCAAAGAATGCGACATCTGGAACATTTCCCCCCACCCTTTACCATGGCCCAAAACGTAGTAACCTCAGATCGCGGGCAACAGAAGTCTCGAAAGCAAACGAAGGCAAAACCGTATCGCTCTACTGTAGAAAGCATTATTCCAATATCGGGTTGCGGTGATCCTGCGACCTACGATAAGAACACCTAGGCACGATTTCATGTGTTGCATAGACGTAAACGGGGAGTGCCTTTTCTCAGGATTTCCGCGCTTCGCTGCGTTTGACGCTGGAACATAATGTGAATGCCGTTGAGGCAATATCACTGCTGTCACTGCAGACGCCGTCTTCACCTGACAGTTTCAGACTCAGCAACGCCTTCACAATACAGCATCAAACTTATGCAGTGCTGTAGAATAGATACTGCAAGTTTTCCAACAGATGTCTTCGGACCAGACTTGGCAGCCAACTGAAACTCCCGTTACAATCCCTTGCGCTTGACATCCAGCGTGAACCCCTCCTCTTCTCCAAGACACCCTATTGCTGTTTCCCTGGCTCGTTACGTTGTACGCCGTTGCAGAGAGACGATGGAGTACGACGTGGCAATGGTCGGGGCTGGACCAGCCGGACTAGCGGCGGCGATCCGCCTGAAGCAGCTCTCCAAGAAGCGGGGTCTCGACCTCAGCGTGTGCGTCCTCGAAAAGGGGGAAGAGGTCGGCTCGCACATCCTCTCAGGTGAAGAAGGATAAGCATAGCGCAGTGAATAACTGCCGAGGATAGTTCGCACCAAACGCCTATTTTTTGTGTTCGGGATACCCTTTCTTGATGGTGTGCTACAAGTAAAGGTGGTCGGGAGGAGAACTGTTTTGCTAACGGCCGCGACGACCCGATGCGGCGAGGCGAGCCGGTTTGCGTGAGCGGCAGTAGTTTTCAGGATCTGCTTTTTTCTTCGAAATGGCGAACGCATGGCACGCCTTGCCTCGAACAGGAACATTGTTGAGGTATTCCTATTTAGTGAGTGAGGGAAGACGTTGTCAATCGTACGGCCGCAAAGCATCATTTTTTCGCATGCTGCTGTCGTTGTCGGTTCGTTTGTAAAGGCAACGTCTTCGAGCCACGAGGTTTGGACGAGCTGATCCCGGACTGGAAGGAGAAGGGGGCTCCGGTGGCGTCCCCCGTAACGGAAGACTCCTTCAGTCTGCTCACCGAGACGAAGGCTTTCAAGATTCCTAACTTCTTGCTCCCCCCGCAGCTGGTGAGCCGAATTCGATGAACAACTTTTGGTCCTTCTGACAACTGTGGAGGTGCACCACATCAGCACGGCACAACAGAAACGCCGACTTGTCCTCCAGCGCTCACGGCAGTAGCAGCCGAAGCAGCTTGACAGAACGCCATCGACGCACCATCTGATCCTTGGAGTGTTGCTTGGCGTCGAAGAAGACTGTGTTTGTGGGTGGTTCTGTGCACCTGTTGGTTTGTGGTGTCAATCCCGTTCCCTCTACGACGGGCCTCTCGGGCGCTTGATCAAACCATCCCCGAAAGCATTCGTTGTTTTACCGCCAGCTATTGCAGTGACTAGAAAACACGGGGCTGCGTGTAGGGTGTAGGTTGAGTCGAAAGGAATCGGCGACCGCTCTTCTGGTGTGCAGGGTGTATGCATCCACTACTGGTGGTTGAACTTTTTCGAGTTATTTGCTACCGCCGTGCTCTGTTGTGTGTCTGCTTCAGCCGGTAGCCGGGGCCTCAACCCTTTCGAAGAGTGCTGCGAACGGCCAAATTAAATCATTCCGTCTGTCCGTCTGTCCGTCTGTCTGTCTGTCTGTCTGTCTGTCTCCATCTCAAACCTTCCTGGGAACCTCTTTCCGCAGAGCAATCACGGGAACTACGTGGTGTCGCTCTCCCAGCTGGTGAGGTGGATGGGGCAGCAGGCGGAGGAGGAGGGGGTCGAGGTCTATCCGGGGTTCGCGGCTGCGGAGGTGCTCTACAACGACGAGGTGCCCAGACCGCCGCCCTGACCTGGAAACGTTTGTTTTGTGTAAAGTCACCTTGGTTTCTTCATCCATGATCAACTAGAGTTGTCAGTTGGGATGGGACCACCGTCGCGGTCTACAACTACCCTCGAATCCTTCAGGCGGTCAAGGTCACGGGGCTCAGTTCTTGGCGTGTCATTGCTGTGCATGTAGAAGGCTCTTGTTTGCCAAGACGCTTGCTTATCCTCCTGTTCACGGTGTATATCGAATCGAAGGCATGCATCGCTGGTGAATCCTCACGGTTACCTTACGGTTATCGCCCGGATTGTAGCCCCTCAGTGGGGAAGGCAAGACCGCCCGTTACGTTGATACTGTATTCACTACTGGTAGCATTTGATGGGGCACTTGACTTAGAGCTGGCAGGAAGCGCGGTGTAACTTTGGCATCGACCAAATACTTGGCCAACCAACACACCTACAGGCTGAGTGTTGGTCCAAATACGACGGGTAATGTCTACTATTCTACTGCCGGGATCGACCGGAACATGATAACAAACAAACTGCATTTCGAGAGGCCTCGATCAACCAAATAGTCATCCGACCAACATTTTCGATGTATCCTTTCCAAGCATCTCATTCGGCATTCTCACGGCATCGATCGCGTTGCTTCGAGACGACCTCGATCTGATACAAAATCAGGGCGGCGTGGTCGGCGTCGCCACGGGGGACGTCGGCATCGCCAAGGACGGCAGCCGCAAGGGCACCTTCGAGCGAGGCATTGAGATACGGGCCAGGCAAACCCTCTTCGCGGAGGGAGCTCGGGGCTCTTGCTCGGAGGTAACGTACACGAATCTGTCATTAAAGCTCTTTTGTTTTCTCGAACAGGTTGAGATTTATGTGTTTTGTTTTTCATCGTTTCCCTCCATGTGATTGGTTGGACTACAGCAGCAATGTCCCTCTGTCGCTCTCACACTTTTCGTGGTCATTTTGTTCTGGTAACACTGTGTGAAAAGGTGTGTTGGCGCTCCAGTTGGTGTGCTAGACCGCTCGGGCTTCTAGAGGGGGGTAGGTGGGCGGCCAACACCACGGCGGGAAAAATCCGCACCGGTTTTCGAGGGGTATGTACTGTGGGGCACACAAGTTTCTCGAGCTTGGCATTTGTACTTGTGCGCGAAACGCTCTCGGCCCTACGATTTCCGAATCAATGTGGTTTGTGTTTGTCCCTGTGTGCACAGCGACAACGTGAAGTGAATCCGAATCTCCGTTTCGAACCTTTTCTTCGTAGATGTCTCTACTAAACTCGTCGCCCGTCTCACAATAGCTTCTTGATCTCCCTGGCGAGTCTCCCCGATTGAGGGACTGATGCGGGTTTTCGCTTGACATAGCTTGTGTGATTTTGCGACACGGCGGTCTGCCCGTCGCGCGCAGGAAGTGATATCGAAGTTCGACCTTCGCCAAGGCAAGGACGAGCAGACCTACGGCCTCGGCCTGAAGGAGGTGTGGCGAGTTCCTAAGGACAAGTGCAAGCCTGGGTGAGAGAGGGCGAGTGGGAAAGAGAGAGAGAGAGAGAGAGAGAGAGAGAGAGAGAGAGAGAGAGAGAGAGAGAGAGAGGGAGGGAGAATCTAACAACCACCGCACGACGCTGGTCGGTGTATGCAACGCGTCAGCGATTGTAGTGCTCCATCCTATCCAACCATCAATTTTGCTCCATCCTATCCAACCATCAATTTGTAGCCGTGCATTCATGTGATGCCATGGCAGCTTAATCTGAGAGTGCCTTCGGTTTGCGAATACAACGCAAGACGCCGAAAAAGAACTGTAGTTACCCGGGGGTGTATTTTGCAGCACAAGCAAGAGAATGTGCGGGTGTTGACAATGGCGAGAGCGCCTTTCAACCTCGTTGCCAGCGCTTTGTGAAGTGCAAAGTGCCGCAGCTGCTTTGGCCAATGGCCGACCTTGTGGGCCCGCACGCGCACTCTGAAAGAAGGCTGAAAAGCCAATGGCCGACCTTGTGGGCCCGCACGCGCACTCTGAAAGAAGGCTGAAAAGCCAATCGTTGAGCACGTTGGGCCCGCACGCGCACTCTGAAAGAAGGCTGAAAAGCCAATCGTTGAACAGTTTTTGATTCAGGAGTAAGGAGGTCACCGCGTTAGCGCTAGCATTTGGCTCCAGTGTTCCCAAAGGGGCTCCATTCCATTTTTGTGAGGCAAGGCGGGATTTACAGCCTTAGAGTGTCGCGACACGCTCGCGAAGTATGACGAACGTGCGTGCCACGATTCCTTGCACAACATCGCCAAGCTGCTTACCCCTCTGCTCGTTGGTGGATGTAACTTCCAGGCTCGTGCAACACACGCTGGGGTGGCCGCTCCAGGCCGGGCCGATGTCGAAGACCTACGGCGGATCTTTCCTGTACCACCAGGACCCGGATCTTATTCTGGTCGGTCTCGTCGTGGGGCTGGACTACGAGAACCCGCACCTAAATCCGTGAGCAAAATGGTTTTTGGTGGTGTTGTTCGTGAGTGAAAATGCGACTTTTTCTCGCGATCCATGAGTGAGCTGATAACGTTTTCTCGCGATCCGTGAGTGAACTGATGACGTTTTCTCGCGATCCGTGAGTGAACTGATGACGTTTTCTCGCGATCCGTGAGTGAAGTGGTCACTGTCTCGGACGATCCGAGGATGAGTCCATGACTTTTTCCGCGGTTGGCCAGTGAAATGATAAAACGTTTTCGGACGATCCATGAGTGACGTGCTTTTTTCTCGTCTATTGCGCCCATCCATCCCTCCGTGGGTGACGAGGGATCTACGGTAGCAGGGCTTCTTATTGTTCTCGACTGCTGTTGCGGAGGCATGGAGCGCAACTTGAGTGCGACTCCGCTGGAGGTATGGGGAAGAAATGCCAACCTATTTATCGAGTACTTTTTTTCATTTTTTTAGTCACGACCGGGGTTCGACGCCCATGCACCACCCGACGCAAGGTTTTGCTTCGATCAGTCCGGTCGGTGGCACCACCCGGGTGTCCTCCGAAGCCAAGAATCGCACGTACCGTAGGATCCATAAGATATATATCACAACGATTTTCAAAGCTCAACTACTCCACGGCAGAGAGAGCGTGGCGGCGCGAAAAATGGGGGTGTTGGAGCCACATCGTCGACATCTTCCCGAAAACACATCGATTGGTTTTGGCATCTTCTTGTTCGTGGAGTAGTCGAGCTTTGAACGTCGTTCTAGGGGGTGTGGTGTCTTGTGTTACATACGGCACCTATCTCAGAGGTCGAGGTACCAGAGGGGCTCTTTCACCGCAGCCTCTTGCCGTACACACGGACGGCCTCAGTGAAGTGACCCCACAGACAAAACGTGCAGCCGCATCGAAAAGCACTCACGATCTCAACCGATTATAGACCAGCTTGAACCGACGAAGTATCAGCTTGAAACCGACTACAGATCAGCTTCAACCGTCAACTGTCAGCCGTCAACTGACTAGACCCGATCTTCCCATTACCCTCTGGCCGCCGATTAACAACAGGTACAAGGAGTTCCAGCGGTACAAGCACCACCCCCAGGTGGCCGCGCAGCTGGAGGGCGGCGAGTGCATCGCCTACGGGGCGAGGACGCTCAACGAGGGAGGGTATCACTCCCTGCCCAGGCTCACTTTCCCTGGGGGCGCGCTGCTGGGATGCGCGGCGGGGTTCCTGAACGCGGTCAAGATCAAGGGGGCGCACACGGCGATCAAGTCTGGGATGCTGGCTGCCGAGGCGGCTTTCGACCTGCTGCAGGTGAGCGCCCCCCCGGCGACGGCAGGAGCGGCAGGACTATAGCGTTCGTTCTTCTTTTCCCGTCTTTTCGAACGAATAGTCGAGTGGTTTTCGCCGTGGCTTGCTGCTGGTAATTTCGAAACTTGTGACCACACTTTTCTGCGAGGCATGCAGCTCATTTCGCAGCGAGATTTTCTAGTACTGGCGGGAGCGGTTTCAACCTCTGAAGGCGGGAAGAAAAACTCTTGTGTCGTCGTACGCTGGGCATCTTAATGAATTTGTCCCCCCCCCATCTGGATAAGACCTGTGCCGTGTCGGGAAGTGTCCACTACGTTTCTTGGCTGTTGCACGGACCGATAGCAACCTTTTTTTTCGCCAAATGCTCTCTTTGGCTTTGCACGCTTGTTTCTTTTTGGCAAACGTTGCGCAGGAAAGCAAGGTAGGTCCCGTGTCAGAGAGCGGCGCCGTGGACCCGTCGGAAGGTGCGCTGGAGTCGGACTTCCAAAAGCGCATGGACGAGTCGTGGGTGAGAGGACCCTGCCCTGAGTTTATCGAATTTCAAGCCGGAAGACCATGCACGAGCAGAGCACAGCAGCTGTCGAAAAAGAAAGCGTTTGCATTCGCCTTTTTCGTTGTGTGGTTTGCTGAGAGTGAGTTTGGCTCATGGCGGGGAAATCGGCCGTGTAGATTGAAGGCTTGGGGTTGAGGTTGAGGACATGCCTAAGTTGCTGCACGCTGCGAGATGGATCTGATGAGAGGCCGATGAGAACATCTGGATGAATCGGGAAGGTCTGTGCGGGGTGTGTGACTTCCTGGTAACACTACCGTCCGTCGGGAGACGTTGCTCGCGATTGGAATACCGACAACGCACAAACGCATTGAGGTGTGCTTGTTGCCTCCTGAGCAAGGGGAAGTCGAAACACCAGCGATAAGTGCATGGATGCGGTCGACGCGGATTTTCGCTCATGACTTGGCAAGTGAACGTCACACCCGCACTCTTCTTGGAAATAAAAAAGTTTGTTCATTTCTTTTTTTGTTTTTACCTGTGTTCTTGACCTCTCTAGGTCATGGAGGAGCTGAAGGAGGTGCGGAACTGCCACGCGTCGTTTGCGAAGGGCATGCTGCCGGGCCTCGCGTACACAGGTATATATGCCAACCGCTCTCATACCGTGCATACCTATCGCGTGGCCAGTCGCCTACGAGATCCACGTCCATACGTCTTCAGTAGTGCCTGCCCCTCTGCTCATGTCTGGCAGTTTACGTTGTTGCTTGCATTGTTTTAACCGTTGAACTTGTGTCGAAGGTGGCGAGGGGGAGAGGGATAGGGAGAGGTTGGGAAGGGTGCCCGGGAGTTCGGATTCATTCATACACTAGAGGGTACATATAATGGATCGAGGTCAGGATAGTCACCATCAAGGAGACAATTAAGTCAGATGGGAGCAATGCGCCGGCTACTGAGTTGTATCTTGGCGCGTACGATGATGGCCCTGCCTTAGGGCGAATTTACCAGGACCAGAGTTTTTCATTCGCGTATCGTGTTCGAACAAGTTGTGGAGCTGGTACATGAATACCTCGCGGAGAGTGTTCGGGCTACATGTGCCGCCTAAACGTTGCAAGGTACACACGATTATCGCTTCTCGAACCGGCAACATCACTCTCTTGCTGCCACACGACGCCGGATTTCGTCCGCTTTGACTCGAACCAACTCTTCCTCACGAAAAAGGAATTCCACGTTGTCCACCACCGTCAACATGCCGACAAACGAATAACTCCATCCCCTGGTGGAACGCCCTCTCTCCCGCTTCGCCAAAAAAAGGCCTAGCGGCGCACGTGCTGAAGGGGAGAGAGCCGTGGTCTTTCCGTAACGGCAAGAAGGACACCGACACAACCCTTCCCGCGGACGATCCGAGGTGCGCGCCGATAGAGTACCCAAAGCCCGACGGGGTGTTGAGCTTTGACCTGCTGAGCAACCTGGCCCTTTCCGGGGTGAAGCACGAGCACGACCAGCCGGCGCACCTCCGGGTGAAGGCGGGGATGGAAGATGTCGCGTCAGAGGTGTGTGTATGTGTGTGTGTTGTTTGTTATTAGCATTGACCGCACTATTTAAACGGCGGATCAATGGAAAGCCGTCAGCCTTGGAGTGGGATAAAAACACAAGCTTTCTGATCAAAGGGTAAGGGTTCCACCGACAGGATGGGTGCAGGAGTTGGACGGCACATTCCTGCTTCTGAAGTACAAGGAGGAGACTCAAAAATATCACACAGCATCGTTGCTGCATCATCGCGTTCGCCGGCTAGCTTCATTGTCCTGGGCTGGGTTCCTTCTATTCGACTTCGCCTGCACTGGGGAGTGTGTGTGTTTATGTTAATTGTTGGCAGTGACCGCGCAAACCGGCTGACCGATCGTGTGCACGTATCGCCGCTATTATTTGCATCGATGACGCTAACCGGCTGACCAACAAAATCACGGCAGCCTCGTCCTTCACACAGTAACAGGGTTGCCACAAGCTCGTTTGTGTAGATATGTGTACGTTTCATTCTCGAAAACATGCGTAAGGCTTCGGCGGATGTTTACGTACGGAACAATGGGCAAGAGGTTGAAGGGTGAATCGCTGGCAAGGGTTCTTGCACCGGTTGACCGGCAACCACGTTAACCCGACGCTACGGTAGTACTTTAGTAGTTCTGAAGTACCTCCTCATCAGACTATGCCACGAGCAACAAGTCCCTCAGTGAACGAGTTTCTCAGTCTTGCCCCCCCCCGGCTGCTCGAAAGCAATGTGCCGGATATGCTGTAGATGCCGACACGTCATATGTTCTCTTCTCCATGTTGCTGTTGGCCCGACGTGAACTACGCCATCTTCGAGTCATCATCTTGTCTGAGATCTGTCTAACCTGGCAGACAACATACTACAAATTAGAGAAATATTATCGATTAGCTCCCAGAGAAGGACTAACGCCCCGCCCCCTTTTTGGTCTCAGGTATCGCATCCAAAGTACGGCGGCCCGGAGCAGAGGTTTTGCCCTGCTGCGGTGTACGAGTACAACGTGCCGGAGGGAGACGAAGGGGGAAAGCCGGAACTGGTACGGTTTGTTATCTGTCTGACGTTGTGTGTTGGGGGTCTCGAGGGCGTTCAAGAATTCGGATTCTCGTTTGGGGTGTTCGTTTCGTCCATTACCTTTTTTGGGGGGCTATAGTTTTTCGGTGCGTCTTGGTGCGTTTGTTCGGTCGTCCCATCCGTTGCTTCTTCGTAGTGCTCTATCATGTACTACTCCCCTAGAGTGAGTGGTGACACCTTCTCAGCAGAAGGTCTCCGATCCGTGCACGCACGGAAGGCCTCGTTTTGCGTTTTTGGCCTTGGTTTTCGAATGCAAGGAGGGTCCCAACCGTCGTTCCTTTCCTCAGGCATGCTCTCGAACAAGCGCGCCTTCCAGAACGAGGAGCGAAAGGCAGAAAATACTCCTTTCGCTAAGATTTTATCTCGGGCCTTACGCCAGCTGAAGGCTTAGCGACTACCAAGTGAGTTATTACCGGGTCGACCGGCTGTCCGAAACCACACGCGCATTCACTCTTTGTCTCGTGAAGCTTACATATGGATGCCGTTCCCGTTTGTGTACGGGTCTCGTACATCGCTTTGTGACCGCCGCTCCTCCTGTACTCCGACGACGACGACGACGACGCATACCTAGGTGATCAACGCTCAAAATTGCATCCACTGCAAGTGCTGCTCGATCAAGATGCCGCAGGAGTACATCGACTGGACGGTGCCAGAGGGAGGCGGAGGCCCGGGATACACCGTCATGTAGGGCCGGCCGCTTTCTCAATCCTTGCTCGCAACGGGAAGGCTCGCTTTTCTGATTGGCCGGAGGGGGGGCGGGGGGTGTACTCATAGTCGTGCATGCCGTAGTCGTTAGAACATTGACCTCGCATCCCTACAAAACCGGGACGGAGCATGCCGGGTTCTCACCGGACCAGGCTCTGAGGGGGGGGGGGGTTGAAGCCATCGAGTGGCACGTTGTGTTGGTACGATAATTTCTTTGCACACCGTTTTTACGGAGAGTTGCAGCGGAGTGCGGCACCAGTCACGGGGTGTTTCGAACCAGAAAATGCTGAGAGGCTTTGCGATTCCAGCGGGAAAGGAGCGATGTGCCCTTGCGTGCACCGGCTGCTCAAGCCACAATTTTGCGGGAGAGGGACGAGGGGGGGGTTTAGAACACTATTTGCATACATGCGGGCGTGATTCGCAAGTTGTGTTGCGTAGATTAGAGGGGTTTGGAAAGAGTCTGCAGCAGGTGTGGCCTACTACTACGTGTTTGGACTTTTAGATGTTGTTTGTTTTGCATATGAAGGCGCTATTAGAACGATTGGATCGTGGAAAATGTCGACGCTACATTATACAGTAAGAAGAGCACAGCTAGCATGACGTTGTCGCTGTAGATATGACGCCCCCCTCAGTCTCCTTGGGGGCTGGCGGTAGGAAGTCGAGTTCCCGGCACGACGACATGGGTGGCCTGCTCAGCGAGCTCTTTTATCACCACGCTGTTAAGGGTGTTTTCCGTATCAATGCAACCCCTTGGAGGACCAGGCTGACTCTGCTACAGTAGTGGTGTGTTAGCCTAAGAATCGCCGGGGCTCTTGTGACCATGTCTGCCTCCTTGCCTGGAACTTCCGGAACGTCACGCTTTGGTTTGCACAATGCCGTGCACGCGGAGAATCCATGACTGCATACCCGACGCAGCAATGCGCAACCTCTCGAGAGGGGCAAGGCCGTAGGGTAGCGTGAAACCGCGAGGGATACGTCACAGATAAATGGGATGGCGGGAGAAATAGTAGCAAGAGGCCCCGGCTAGCTGACGCATCACTCGCAAACAACCCGTCTTCGACAAGACGTTTTTTTACACGAATCCACACCAGGCAAAATACCACACATTCACGAATCCTTACCGTGTAACTCCCCATCGTGGAAGACTTCTACAGCACTACGCGATTTGAATATACTGCCTCCCGAGTAGGAAATAAAGCTGGGATTTATGCTGTAGACTAGTGCTGTACATTCTTACAGTAATTCCAAGGTACCCTGGTTCTATTCCAGCGTACGACCAAAGATCCTCTATCGCATGTATGTACTTGTAGTCTAGTGCGTATGCAATGCATCATATATCAAACGACGGGAATCTTCTTTCCTTGAATGGCCAAAGCACTTCTGACTTGCTGGCTCCCTGCCTCGCCAATCACGCGCACTGCCTGATGACACACAATAAGGACAACTGCCTGATGAATTGACAACTCCGGCGCTACCGAACTGGTTCGGGGTCTACATCGGCTTCGTGCGGGGGATCTTGAAACCCATACACGTACCCCCTACCCCCCACGACAAAATGGTTGCCAGCTGTGCATCCCCCACAGGCAGAGGCTAGGCGGCGGACTTGCTTGCCGCGGCAACGTGCCAGACTGACTCCCCGCAAACAAGCAGGGTGCGACCATGTTTCGAATCTTCGACCCATATGCGATGGCCCTGTCCTTACTCGTGGGTGGTGTGGGGTTCTGCACGACTTTCTACTTCAACACCGAGATGTCCGAGTGGGGAAAGGACGAGATCGCCTATCCCATGATGGCCATGGTGAGCGCTGAGATGTTTACCAGGCTCTGCTGTCACTGCATAGTCGAACACACCACATGGAGTCTTACGCCAACAGCTGCACACGAAGCAGCAGATGCAAGGTGCATGTTGCTGTCGCTGCTGTCGCAAGCCGGCCTTCACAAACTCTCCTTCATGTTGCACTTCCACCCTCGCTTTGTAACTAACAAATAACGGGTGCAAGCGGAGATCTCAATACTCCGCTGTTTCGGGAACTTGTACAACACAGCAGACGCGCCCGTGCGGTCTCTAACTGTCTTTCGCACGAGGGTACGAGGGTAGCACGAGTCTCGTCTCAACAGTTTCGGCAGAAGAGTATGGTCACGCTGTGTTTTCATCAGAACATCGGTCGTGTGGATCTAAGCGTTTCGTGTACTTGGGGGCATCGGAATGCTCGCGAATCTCAGAAAAGTTTGGAACCGGGGTTCTCGTCGACACTGCACGCTCCTTTCCTTGGTGCGATGTGGGATGTGTTCTTCTACAAGTAACAGAACCTATTTGTAACCTTGACCCTGCGACAGGGTTGTTGTGCCGTCCTTTCGGCAACGCGTTTGATCGAATTCCCCACGAGAAAGCCAAAATGTAACTGCATCGTAAGTCGAAGTAACGCGACTCTGTGTATTCAATGCTGGCTCTATTTTGGACCTCGGTGACAGCAGTGTGGACCATTATAGTGTGGGTCTACTCTGTAAATAGTGTACAGCAGTATGCATGTACAGGAACATATCTCGGTGGTTAGGAGAGCTGTAGCAACGTTTTGAAACGGTGCGGTTTGAAACCACTTGGGGATTATGAGCAAATAAGCTGTTCAGGGGTCAACGTGGAACGTAGGCATCCGGTATGACATTTGGGACGAAGCGTGCGTATCCATCACCAGGGTGGAAGTACGATGCGTTTCGGTTGCGTTTCCCAAGGCACGCTTCTCCTGCGTCTTCAGCTTGCTCAGACAGGCATTCTGCGGCAAACTACAATGCCCAAGTGGATACGATGGCTTTCAAGAACGAGCTGCTGCCTCGAATGTATCTACACGTGTAGTGCCACTCGAAAAACACGCTCTACCGATTTAGCTGGTGGACCCCCACGTGTTTGTACCACGCATGTCTTCCCCGTAATCGTGCGCACTCTTCCATCCATTGTGGGCCCTTTCTAGCCCGAAACAGGATCGCCCCTCCTCGTCCCCCTTCGCCAACTTCGCGTGTGCCAGATATACGTTTACGCTCGAAACGCCCGCTTCTTCGAAAGCGACGAAGAATCTTCCGCGAAAATCCTCCAAGGCCACGGCGGCGGGGCTGCCGCGGAGGGGGAGGACGGCAAATTCCAGGCGCCGTCCCCTGTGGGCGTCCCAGGGCTGGTGACAGTAAAGGGGCCACCGCTGGCGGCGCCGAAGGCAGGGTCGCTGGCGGTCGTTTTCTTCTTCGCTACCTGGAGCGACAGCTGCGAGCAGGTCTTGCCGGCCTTCCTTGCCGTGGCGGCGAGGTATATCGACGAAGGTGAGTGGAAGGCAGGGTAGTGAACGCGACCGAGTGTTGGCACAGCCGTAACGCCCGCCTGAAGCGGGCACCATAAACTGCGTCCTACAACGCGTCCTCGCACACTGAACGCCCCCCCCCTCCTGCAAGTTCGCAACCAAACGGGTTGGGTTAAGCAAGGCTGTACGGTGTGGCGAAGCGATTTTACGGTGGGAAGTTGGTACTACCCCGCATGAATCGTTGCTGAGTTCGTTCGAAACTCTCTCGCATCTAAGGGAAGCAGTAGTGTTCATACGTTTCTGGGATTTTTTTTTGAAACCCACCCTTGCACCGGGTTCGCTAAAGGAATGTTAGGCTGAGCAGGGCCGAGGAACAACAGGCACGCTACCACTAACAATTGCCCTTGATAATGGAAATTGATATCTTGGCACTCCGACGCTTTTATTTTTTCCTACGCTCTGCGGTGTCTTCTTGTTCGTCCTAACCACGGCAAAGGGTGTTGCAGGATCTACGACAGCATGTACCTTGACCACAGCCCTTTTTTCTTGTCAGGGATATCCTTCGCGGGAGTTACTCAGGAAGAGGAGGAGGAGCTGCGATACTTTGTTGAAACGTACCAGCGCTCACTGCGACCTGTCACCCTCCTCGCGGACGAGCAAGGGGTGCTTACAGCGGGCTACCAGGTTTGCGCGTTTTTTTCGCGTTCTTGCTTTTCTTGCTATTCCTGTCTTTTGTTTGGCCGCATCGTATAATCCAAGGGTGTGTTCTGTAGGGTACCCACAGAAGGTACCGGCGGTATTTTTCCGGGTATTTACCCTACAGAACGTTACAGACGAGTTCTGTGGTACTTCCGCTACCCTACTGGATACTTCTGTGAGATCTGTGGCACTTCCAATACCCTACAGAAAACGCCTATGAGTTCTGTGACGCTTCAATACCCTACAGAAAACCTCTGTACACATTTGTTAACCTACCCGCTACGTTCTGTGAGATCTGTACGACCTTCGCACAAACCCGATTTTTTCTGTTGAGTTCTGTGGCACTGGCGATACAATACCGGATATTTCTGTAAGTTCTGTGGCACTTCCGATACCCTACAGAAACGTTCTGTGAGGTTCTGTAACCCTTCCGATACCCTACATAATTCTTCTGTGAGTTCTGTCACACTTCAAATACCCTACCGGACGCTTCTGTGAGATCTGTGACACTTCCAATACCCTACCGGAAACTTCTGTTCGATCTGTGACGCTGTCAATACCCTACCTACCGGGCTATGTCTGTACGCTCGTACGCTCTATGTTCTGAGTCAGGCCCACCAACCAAACTTGAAGCGCACCTTGTCAATTTGCAGAAAAAGAACAAGTACAAATCACGTGGTTCTCGCACACAAGTCATCATGGTGAGCATGCACCACACACGTACACATCATTGTGAACAACCACGACGCGTCTGTATCGCTGTGGAGGAGAGGGACATGAGCTCTAACTCTACCATCACCGCGGACCCTCCGAGCGGATCATCGATCGCTGCGGGAGGAGTCAACACGCGGGCAGAGGCAGCAGCAGCAGCAGCAGCAGCAGCAGCAGCAGCAGCAGCAGCAGCAGCAGCAACAACACCACCACCACCAGAACGCGAGGGAGCGGTAGAGATAGTTGACGCGGGAGGCGGTGATGCAGGCGTGCCCGTAATCGCACCCGCAGCCGTCTACAACAAGTACGGGGAGCCGCATGCCGTGGACGCGGCTGTGGTGAAGGCAGTCGATGACTCCACGGTGCCAGCAGGCTTTATGAGGAACGGGTCCCGCGAGAAGTCGTACATGTATTCGCTACGAGTGAGTGTACATCGAGGCGTCGAGCAGCGACAAGCACCAGTTTTTCTGCATGGCCGACTCCTTGTGCCGCCGCAAGAACAAGAGGATCCCCAAAGGCGGCGACCGCAGCAACGCCAACTCGCACCTCGAGAATGGGCACGGAGTGCAGGGGGTGCGTGGCGTCGTGAAGGACGGGAAGAGAAAGGCAGCGAAGCAGAGCATCACGGCAAACTTCGCGGCGAACAAGAACTCGGGTGTTGGGACGGACAGGTGTGTGCGTCATCAGGTTTCTCTGCTTGTTGTGTGTGTACATGTATGTATGTGTGACTGCTGTACTGCAGTAATACTCCGTGAGGAAACCTTACCTGCGCGAACCACGTAGTAACCAACTGACTGATGTTGGTATCTCACGCTTGTCCCGTTCTCCCCTTTGCAATGCTGTGCCGATACGGTACATTGTATTGTATTTCTGTTTCTATTTCGTTCCCTTTGGCAGAGTCCGTCAGCTCCTGGCTGTGAAGATGGCCGTGGAAAAGTTTTTGCCCTTCAGCTTTTTCTCATCTGGCACAACTTGGCGGGATCTCACGGGGTTGCTCATTGACCAAGACACACCTTTTCCGGCGCTCTCTTCTCGGCGCGTCAAGCACATCCTTGTGGAGTTACCAGGGCGAACAACCGGATGCAGAGAGACCGGGGGGGGGTGGTATATACCTGGGGTATTCTCTCATTTGAGCAACAAACATGCTTAAATACCCCCTATTTTCTGTTCTGTGACACTTGCAATACCCTACAAAACGTTACAGACGAGTTATGTCACACTTGCAATACCCTACAGAAAGCGTCTGTGAGTTCTGTCACACTTGAAAACCCTACGGACACTTCTGTGACGTCTGTGATGCTACAATACCCTACAGAAAATGTGACTTCGGCGACGCTCCAATACCCTACAGAAAACTTCTGTGAGCATTTGATAACCTACCCGCGAGGTTCTGTGAGTTCTGTACGACCTTGGCACAAACACGATTTTTTCTGTTGAGTTCTGTGGCACTTGCGTTACAATACCGGATATTTCTGTGAGATCTGTTGCACTTTCAACACCCTACAGACAACTTCTGCGAGTTCTGTGACACGACAGTACAGTACAGAAAACGTCTGTAGAGATTTGTGAACCTACCCGAAATGTTCTGTGGGTTCTGTACGACCTTCTCACAAACCCGATTATATCTGTGGAGTTCTGTGACACTTCCAATACCTACCCGATAGTTCTGTGAGTTCTGTGACAACTTCGGATACCCTACAGAAAGTTACAGACCCTACAGAACATACCCTTGTAATAATTCGTTTGTTCGGGCCTGATCTCGCAAGTCAGCGACGGCAAAATTACCGCTATGAAAGCGCCCCACACTGGCTGGGCCAAACACACCCCGGAGCATTGTAACGCCTTTTTTTTTTGCTTCCGACACGATCGGTCAAACTCCCCGCGGACGACTTGGCACTATATATGTTGTCGTTGTGGTAGATGTGGCCTCCGGCAAGCGTGCTTGACTGTGCGATTCCTCGAAGCTTTGACTTGAAACCCTTGCGAATTTCGTTTGCACTACGTACACCAGGGAGGGCACCGCACCAAGACTATCCCCCATTGCTACATCGTAAGGGGCGGGAGCGGGGACACCGGTGCAGGAGCTGGGTTTGGGGTGGTGGAATGGCACGGGCATCCAGCACGGTTGGAAGCGGCCCTGGGCTATCTTATGGACGATGATGAGGCGAGAGAGGACACCGTGGAGGGGAAAGGGGTTCGGAAATAGCAATGGAGTAGTACGTTTTTTTTCAGCTGCATTGTGTATGTTGTCAGTGTTTCGGCAAGAACAATGAAACAGATGAGACCAGCATGAAGTTTGTACCTTGCTGGGAACAGGCTGTTTGGGCAAAAGGGAATGCCCATAGTGGTTTACGCGCCTAGGTGGCGAAGAAATACAAACACTTTTCGTGTCTCGTTCAGAACCAGACATTGGTTCAGCATTTAGACTGTTTTTTCATGTCGAAAGCTGCTTGGTGAATGAGGACGGACTGAAGGAGGAGAATGCAAGAGGGAGATGAAAGGGAAGTATGTTTTACGCAGAATATATCGGGACGGAGAAGATTCCCTATGGAGTCATCCTGCCTGCCCCTCACTCAAAAATTTTACACGAGACGCAGATGCTTTGGCCTTTTTTTTCGCAGGCATTCGTCACTGCAGGAGAGCGCGCGTACCCTTTGTTCGTGATTTTTGACGCTGCAACGCTGTGCGATGAAGAAATAGAGGGTGGAGACCGTCCATGGTGAAGGCGATTTTGAAATGGAAATATCTAGTTGGAGAAACGGCGTAGGCAACCCGGTTGTGCAAAGGTGCCTGAAGTTTCTCATCGATCGTTATTTTTGAAAGGACGTTTGGCCGTGAAGGATGCTTGGTGGCGGCATCCATTCGGGGACTGCCGACCGTTTTTCTCTCCAGAACTGACCACTGATCGGTGGACTTGTTGATCGAACAAAGGGACGATTCTGTAGAGAGAGAAATTGAGCGTATCGGGCCGGGTACTAGGGGGCTAGTAGCGAGACACTGTCGATTCCATGCCGCGGCAAGGTTGTTCTGATCCCATGGAACCGTGGTCGATCTCTCGGCACGGTGGTCGTGCCGTGGGCCGTGCTTGCCGCCCTTGGCACTTTTGTAAAAACTATTGATGCGTTTTTTGGCCAAACAAATGGCATCCAGGGTGTGGGTGGGCTGTGCAGCAAGCAGTGGGTCTTGAGGTCCGTCGGAGATGACGCGTGTGCCATCCTCTCTAACCTGAACGTCGTAACTCACGGTTCGGTGTACGTGGACGCACCCACAGAGTTCACTCAGGCCGACAGCTACCCAGAAGTGTATGTTTTTGCTACCCTCTGGGGCAACGCTTGCCTGCGTTTTATAGTTTTCCTTTTAATCCCCCCCCCGGCCGGACTTAGTCGTTGCTGCCCAGCACGCTAAGGGCGTCTGTGTAGACGATCTTCTGCAGCCTCGCGAAAACAAGCACATCTATGGATGGGTCAGTACTTTCCCGGAGCACCGGTTTGCCCTTGTCCCATGGCTTTGAGTCTGCTTCTCTCCAACTTGTGGTGACCTGGTTTTAATGGCAGCGATGGTCTCGTTTCTCAGGAGTATTTCGGAGTTCTGAACGTCGCTTGTGTTGGATTATCGAGAACAACGCTATCGACCGAATCCTCTCGGCCGAATGATCCTTGGCGAGGTCGAGGACGAAGAAAGGCATGCACCGTCTGGTGAACCGACAAGCAGGGAATCCGAAAGCTCGCGTTGGTTCACACAGATAAAACAGGAGCTTCCACCCAACGTTCGCTATTGTCAAGCTTTGTTTCTTTTCCGTACCCTTTCAAAGCACGCTCTGCTCTTGTCGTAGATGTACACATTCACCCAACGCTTTCCGTAGGCTCAGACCAGGGTAGACCAATGTCAAGCAACCAGGGCAAGTCCCAGGCGACTGGAAAACGAGTGGACCTTTGACGAGAATATTGAGGGTGCCGGGACGGTGATGCATTCCATGGTTGCCCCTGTACCTCGCTCCCGTAGAACCATTCACTCAAATGGCCGGAATCGGTATCCCGGCTCATGCGGAGGCTCTCGTTTCGATACCACCAACTTCAGCCAATATGAGCATGCACAATAGTGAACTACTCAAATTCAACTCGGCAAAGTTCGTGCTGGGGGCCTGGCTTTCAAACTTCTGAGTCTATTTGTGCTCAATTTCTCTCAGGCACATGAATTCCCCTCCCGTGATGACCAAGCATCGCCAAACGAAAATCCATGGCACTTGACCGAAATATACGCACTACCCCGAGGTGTCTCCAGCCCTTCGTGCGTTCCAATCAACAGGTGCGAGTAGGCAATGACTTACTTTCTGTAGTCATTTCACGGTACGTCGGCGGTGCGCTACATATGTGACACTACGGTTGATTGAATTCCAAGATTTTCTTTTCCGCGCTGATGCTAGGGAGCTCATTCTCCTTCAGGACAGCAGCGTTGTCCTGCGGGTGGCACCATGCTGGCCCTTTCTTGAGCGCCCTGCTTGTGAAAGGAAGCGTTCAGAGGAAAGGCGCCCTTAGGAAACTGCACGGTGGTCGTTGTCAATGACGGAAGTCCTTTAGCACAACAGTTGATCAATGCATGTCTGCATCAACAGCAACCGAAAACACAAATATTCACCTTGCACTCACGTGTCGGTCACAGCATCGAATGTGTTGCCCTCTACGCACAACGTAGTTGTGGTTCTCAGGCACGGGGAATGATGCTGAGGGCAGACACCCACGCCCATTCTCCCGCCGATGAAGCTGTTCGACTCGGCAAGTAGCCGACCCCTGTGCAGCAGCACAGCAGTCGTGATCGGGCCGGATGGCCCGAAGCTTGAATGGGAAGCATGTGAGGGGGGGGCGGAACGACAATCGAGAGTGGAGTCACATCTTTCTCTCGGAAGGGCTTCGGGAAACACTCCGTTGAAATAGATAAGGAGGTCGGGAAATGGCGTTGTTGAGGCCGATATCTTCATTACTCCGGTCTACTCCCACTACTGCATATACTACGCAGCCGATGTTGTGCCTCGGAAGGTGGGACTGGTAGACTGGCCTGTGGTTCTGGAAGCAAGCGATGTTCTTGTTTACCTGCAGTCTTCTAGGAGCACGTCAGCTCGGATGCTCACCAGCGAGGCAGGTACCGCTGCACCAATTCCAAGTTTTCGGATGATGCAGGGGGCTTTTATCTGAACACCATGCAAGGTGGGAGGTCACAAGAACCCGATTGTAGTGTTGGCATCTCAACAGATGTACTTGGTTACACGCGGGAAGGTTGGAGTGTCTGCCTCGTAGTGAATCTTGGTGCCCACTTCGGCGGATAGGGTGCTTGAAAAAACTATGGGCTGTTGCTAACTTACACAAGAAGTTTTTTACGTGCTCTTGACTTCAACAGCGATTTCGCTCACTTCTAGGGCACGGCTGCACAACTTGATACTTCGGCCTCTACCAATGAGCCAAACCGAGACATCGAGCTCCAGCTCCGGAAAGCGAGCGAAATCGCAGGCGGCGGCAATCTCGAGGAATTGGCAATAGTGCCAGGGACTCGGCAAGCTTCGGTGATGCATCCGGTGCGGTGTTCCGTCCATCGATCTGGGCGTTGAATGCCTGCTTGCGGACCTCAAAGGCAGCTAGAGCCTTGGCCTTCCTGGCGTTCACCTCGGCTTCGAAGGCCTCTTTCGAGCCCCACCTGTCAGATTTCGGTACATCTGACTCATTGGTATGAACACACGCATGTCTACTATGAAACACGCCGTGATGTCAAGGCCAAGTTTTCACTCTTCTTGTCTACCATGCACATCAGAAAATAGATGACACCTGGCAGTTGCTGACGCCATGGCAGCACTGCACGTAGTCACGGTGATCCATTCGTCGTTCGACCTTACGTGCTCCACTTCGGTTGCCCGCTCCACCGGAACTTTGGGAGGCTCGCTTCCTGGGACTTGGTAAGAAGATAGTGAACCTTCGCGTAGCTTTCGGAGGAAAGCACGTTCAAGCGAGATCCAGTTGACAGCGTACAAGATGGTTACATAGCCGGAAAGAAAGAGTGAGCCAACATCCACTACTGTTGTTAGACAATGGATAATCCATTCGACTCAGTCAGCAGGCTACCCACTGAAACGCCTGTTCATTCCAGACGGAAAGTGAACCTGATCCTGGCGTGTTTGCGCACCTAAGGGTGCAAGTCTTGACTCGCGCGTCGGTCTGGAAGCATGAGATACACACCCTAGTGCATGTCAGCACGAAGAACCTGTTCGTAGGCTCCCCACAGCAGGAGCACAACCGTGTAGAAAGCTCAGATACAACCTGGCCAGACATGGCGGTCGTGTTCACATACAGTAGGTTGGCGGTGTGGAAACAGGGTTTCCATACCGTTTGCTCTATAGAGTCTACCTAAAGCAGTACGATGATGGTTCGGCAGGCGCGGACGAGCTGAAGCAACAGAAGACGTTAATTCTGACCTGCTTGCACGAGAATGACAGTGACAGCCTGTTGAGTCTCTCCTCCCCAAATGCGTTAATGGGATCGAGGCTCGAGAGAAAGCGGCGCCACAGACGTTCCTCCGACTCCACACCCGACCATGTCTTGCTCAACAGAGCGCTGTTGGAAGCACGGGCACACAACGACTTGCGTAGCGGTTTGTAGTCATTTCCTCCGAGGAAGGTCAGGTTGGCCGGGCTCAGGTACTTGCGCTACCTCCCCTGAGGTGCCTCAATGCCTTGCTTTCCCGGTCATCCCACGGTTTCCTGCAGAGGCCATCCCACGGTTTCCCGCATAGCCCTTGGTACAGTACGTGCACACGCCGCGCGTGCTGTCGGTTCACGCGGAAAGAGAGGTACACCTCTGACGACGCTTCTGTTGCAAGGTTTCTTACCATGCACCAGGTTGCCCAAGGCAGGAAGGACAGCACAATGAAGGCGACCGCATCATCGCCAATCTGAGGAAAGAAGCCCTGAGAAGGCTCCTCGGTAGGGCCCGGCCCAGTGAGATGTGCAACACGAAGCCCAGAGCCACTCTCCAAAGCGCGGCGGCTGGGGAAAAGAGTCCTAGTGGATATACGACGGGCTGCCATTTCGACCATAAAACCCGTAGCTGGGTGAAGATCGAGAGGGACAGAGAGAAAGAGAGGGACAGGGAGTGAAGGAGTGAGAGAGGTAGATACGCCGCACAGGGTCCTCGTGATATCATTGGACGCGTCCTACCCCCCCCTTTCTTCACAGATGACGTAAGATATCACACCCTAGACCAACTTTCAAAGCTCGACTTGTACTCCACAGCAGCAGAATCGTGACGATGCTGTGAATTATTGTACGAGCCTTACATCACCTTTCGCTGGAGTGAAACAACCTGCAGAGAGGGACGAAGAGGGTGGACCTACAGAACTTAACCTTTGTCAAAAACGTTGCACGCAAGCACGGCAGGAGGAAACGAGAGCCCCCCGGCTGGTATGTCAAACCTCCCCAAAACGTGCAGGCTTGCGCCCGGAATACAGAGGTAAAAACAGACAGTGAAATACCACCCTTTGACATACAAGTATTTCCCAAAGGAGATGTAAGTATTGATGCAGGACTGTAGGAAAATGTTGGAGCTCTCCCGATCGGGGAATCAGGGTGGAGCCCGGGTGGAGAGAGCGTGTGGGTGCCATTATAGCATGTCAAGCCGGAGAGCGGGAGCTGACGGAGAGTACTTGAGCGGCAATACGGTGGGGAAATATAGTATCGTACCAGCGTAACTTCGTGTTCAGCGTGTTTCGCAACATGGTACTACTGTAGCTGTACATCCTGCTGTAGTCAAACTTCAAGTTCTTCAGAGAGAGGGCTAATGTAGACGCAAAGCCGACAAGCCTATCGGAGCCCATCCCCAACTAACACAGAAAATAGCTCTCAACAGCATTTGTAATACAGCAGGCGTTCAGCTGCTGGCAGATATCTCCCTACCCCACCTCTTCCTCTAGCACACATAATACGTGCAGCAAGACAGCGCTATCAAAGGAGTACACGAATGACTTTTTAGCTGAGTGAATTTTCATGCCGCCATTGCCTCGTATTTCGGCAGAGAACACCTTGCAGTAGCTTGCCAAGCGAGAATGGCGACTGTACAACGCCGACCTGTTCGCAGGACTTGGACCTGGCGGATGCCTTTAATACTCCTAATAAAGAAAATATGCAATTTCGAAACTCCGGGCATCTTTGGGGGGACGGCGGAGTATGTTGAGATCGAGGTGCGGTCTCGCCCAGGCAAGACGGGATACCTCCGCGAATCCCCTCGCTTTCACACGCAATTCTCTCTCCAGCCACTGGTAGACCAACCCGACTTCTTGACTCCTTCTGCTTTAGGTCACTGCCGTCAATATGATCTCCGAGGTCAGTGCGTCTGTTCACCCTCGTTCGTGTCACATGATATCACAGTTCTACATGCTGCAGCGCGTGTTCACGTTGTTCCTCGCCCTGTCCCACGTGTGAAAACAGCAGGCCCACGGCAGCGGACACATCAGCAGGGCGTCTGGGTCGACGTCGCCGCCTCGTCGCATGGGAAGGCAGGGAATTATCGAAGCCAACAGAAAGGTGGGCCATGTCGTACGTGAATCTAGGGAGGAAATAGTTTCGCAGAGAGGGAGACGGAGAGGGATGTCAGATTCCAGATGATGAAGGTTTACAGCAGTAGTGCCGCCGCACTCCTTTATTGCGGCGGATTTTGCGCTCGGATGAACCCTTACGGCACACCTCACTCTGTGTTCATCCTCGAATGACGATACATGCGGACAAAGGCTCCTCACCTCTTCAGGTCTTCCAGCATCAACTTATCGTGGCTATTCTCTCCTTTGGACGTATCCTGATGGCGTGAAACTACTCTCTTTTAATGTTGGTCGCAAGGGAAATATGTGACTTGCTGACCTCTTGGAGGGGGAAATTTGAGTTTGAAAAATTTCAGCCGTTATGTTACAACCTGTCAGATCACATGTGCGGCGTGATCGAAACTGAATGGCTGTCGGCGCATGCACTCTTCATGTCATTACAATCAACCGAACCTGAGACCACTGAAGGCCTCTAGAACGCTAGACAACGTCTCTTTCCCTCGTGTAGACTCGCACTGGTAAGCAGTGCACATGCCTCTCACCATCGTACTCTCTATCTTCCGTTCTCGCCCACTTCCGTACAGACCGAAATCTGCAAACATTGGCTCCAGGGAAAATGCCCCTTCGGTGGTGAGAACACCCCTAAAAGTTCACTATTTATTGTATAAAGACGTTGTTGCACGGACTGCACCCTTTCGAGGTTGTCAAACTCGTGAGGCAATATGTTGAAGGAGTCATGGAGACTTTGAACGTTGAAGTTGTTTTTGAAGCACACGTCTCGCACTGTGTGTGTTGGATTTAGAGTACAGCGTGCTGCATTGCCACACCTGACATGTTGTCTGTAGTCTGGGATCACAATTTATACACGCTTTGGACGGGGAGACGCTTGAGGATTGCAGAGGTGCAAGTTTGAGGTCGCAAAGTTGTGTCAGCAGCAGGGTGTGAGACGTGCCTGAGAACAGGAAGGTATGCCTTTCGGGTTGGAACTACATGATATGTTGCGTTTTCCTGTTGCTTCGGGTAAATTTCTCACTCTTTTGTTCCATATTTTCACTCTTGAGCTGCGTGAGGGCATTAATACACATGCTTGTTCCGTCTGTGCCATGGTGTTATCATGCACTGGGATGCTGCTCGATCAGCCAAGTGCGCGTTCGCCCATGGTGCCAAGGATTTGAGGAACCCTACCGCCGAACGGTAAGGTTAGTCCCATAGGCGACATCTCTGTTCAGCTGTATCAAAAGGTTTATTGTGTCAGTAACAGTATCCATTGAATCCGGAGAAAAATCGCCTTTGTGTACTTGTAGTGAGAAATGGCGCGCGTGCTTGATTCCAAACAAGGGGAAGCGCAGCGTGTCTTGATGACGATACCGCTCAGTACTCGTGGAAAAATATTGTTGAGAGTATTTTCGAGCATGCGAGTAAACGCCGAGTGTGATTTGAATCAAGCAACTACGCACGCAGGCCAGTATGTGTTTCGACATTCACATGTTTAACTTCGGTACGGTAGTTCGGAGAACGAGAAGCTCGTTTGAACACGTGTCCTTTCACCTCCTCATTGACATTGCTACGGGCTCCGCCTTGCCAACTGCGGGATGTACGTAGCACTACCCCCCCCAAGACGGACAAGAGGAGGCAGCACCGAGGCTCGCCGACTGGTGACACAACCACTGCGTCCTGCTGCGACCCAAGGTAAAACGTTGAATCCTAGTGCATACCACGGGCATCATCAATGTCCAACCTCGCTTCACATCAGTAAACCCCAAGGACATCTGGAGAAAACCGGCTACAGAGTATTTTCATCTTTAAGACGGCATGCCGTCCTCCTTCCAACCCAGGCGGACGACATCATCCTCCGCTGGCATGTGTTCACGCGTACAACCGAAACACGACGCACCTTCCCTACCAGCTTACTACCCTGAGTCCTTCCCCCAATGCACATTTTCACTATGTAGACGATCTCAACAACATATTCTACAGTTCCTTTCCGTTGCCCCGGTTCCCTATGATTCGAACGTCGTCGACTTGACACAGGTGTACTGTTCACCGCCATTCATCGTTCGCCGGGGGCGAGATCCGGACGCTGAAGGACAACTCTTCCGCGGGCCGCCGTGACGCCAACAACAACTGCACCGTGGGTCACAGGCATCTATCTTAGACGACACGGTTTGATGGTGGTGTACGAATCTCGAAGGGGGAAGTCTGCGCCATTCCGGATGAGGCGAAATCTTACTCTTTCGCCATTGTCTTGGCTACCCCTCGATGGACTACTGTACTTCCGAGCACGCCCACGTGTCACTATTGTCTGTTCATACAGAGTTGCACTTCCGAACATTTCAGACTTGCAGATTGTGAGTCCTAGCACCATATTCATCGGACATGCAGATATATGCCCACGCGACTACGAAGTTCGACGTATAAAATACGTTTTGGATATAGCTCAAACCAGAGGAGGCTCAGATTATCCCTAACTTGCGACACCACGCTCTCACTGCTTTTGATACGCCTTGGGAACCTCAATCTATTTCGCGTCAGGGGTGCAACTGCCGCCAGCCGCTGCAAGAAGTCGGTACCAACAGCCAGCCTCAGGCTCACGACAGGTACGATCGTTCACGGCTTTCGCAGTTATCCTTGCGTCCCACCACACCCTGAGAGCTCATAAGTGGTTTGCTGTGTAACAGATACGTTCCAGCACCCTAGGCGGAACATTGCACGTTGTGGCGCTATTTCAGTTCTACGCTGATTGGGCATCGAGCGAGCGAGTGCGCCCGGCAGACGAGCCGCAACACATACTCAGTAGAAGAAGGAGGGGTGAAGAACAAGCTTGGCGAAAATCCAGCAAACAATATTCGTTGTTCAAGGACAACGTTCGTTGTTCATGCATGATCACCAGTCTGAGCTCTGCCCACCTTGCTGCTGTCGGTTCGTGTCGACAGCATGAATCCCGTACCCAGGGGCACCTTCTCCCTCTGGGAGTCTCCCAACGCCATCCTGCAGGGCCCGAACGCTACCATCGGTTGGACCGGCCCCAACGCGGCCCACCTCAGCAGCAGCAGCATCAAGGACAAGATCATCGTTTCCCCTAGTATCGAAGAACACGGCTTCCGAGGTACGCTCCGCGAAGACGCGACATGGGCCAAGATCGCCCAAACGAAATCTCGCCGTGCCGGAGGGGGAACCGACGGTGTCTCCACCCAGACCTTCAGCTTGGCTTCGAATCCGTCCGAGGTGGAGTGCACCAAACACTGCCTGGGTGTGATGTTCGAGGCGACGGATGCCGTGGTTTCCGGGTGCTCTTCCAAGCAGCGGTGCCGCTGCTTCTACTCGTCTTGCAATGGTAGCGCGGTGACTGCCACCGACCTCGGACCAATGGCTACAACGGCTGGTGAGAGGTCGGGGAACTTGTATCTCGAAGGCTTTAGGCATTACGACTACGAAAAACATTCAGTTCTGAGGAGCGTTGTTCGTGTTGTTGTATGTTGAATGCATGGTTGGCGTAAATTGACCTATTCGATCACTGATCCTGTTTGATAGGATTTTTCTTAAGGTTTTGAAACAACAAACGCGCATGCAACATCGATCGGCATTGGAGCTTTATTGAACCAACCAGGAATTCACCTATTTCGCAATAGGTCTGGAATGAAGGCCGCATTATTTCCTCTTCAAACGTCAAACTAGGAGGAACAAAATCACACTGTCATTCTTGCTTCCCTCTCCCCCATATCCAACCTCTCACCCGCAGTCGCGCCCCGTCCGACCTCGATCCATCTATTTGATAGGCCTTTCCCTCGGCGCCAATGGACGCAGCCCCCTCAACCTTGGACCCCCCTTCTTCGCATCCTCACCGTCGAGCCAAGGCATACCCGCTTCACTGTCTACATCCCACTGCTGGAACCCTCTCGCTTACGAAAATTCCCAGCTTGGACTGTTGTCTTCTTCGATTGCTCACCAACCACTTCCTGGGAATGCGGGACACCAAACGTCTGGCCCTTCCGTGGCGCCGAGCGATCAACGTCACATCGATGACGCTCTTGATTGGATGATGTCGGATTTGCGTCGAGTCTCTTCTCCCTCCAGCGGTGATACAGGCGGTGATGGTGCTCGAGGCCTGGACGTTGTGACGAGGATGATCGCGTGGGAGGCTCCCTTCTCTCTGCCGTCTGTGGTGGGCACTGAGGAACCTAGGCCGTTGAAGCCGGCACACCAGCTAGGAGGTCGTTCGGGAGACTCTTCTAACCTCCATCGTTCATACCGCACCAACATGTGGGTCGATGCACATGAACCTCATTGGTTATGTGGGAGTACGTTGTGCATTGTATGGAAAGGTCAACCCACGAGTATCGCGATTGCTCATTTGTAAGGTTCAGTTTGAAGCACAGCATTTTCCGGAAGGTATCCATAGCGAGGCTTGTTGTCGTTGACCTCGATGAACAAGGAACAGGCCCTGTTCTCGATGATGTCGTACTTAGGGACAAGTGCACTGCCGGTGATTTCCTCGCTGTCATGGCGGCCGATCCCCCGTACTCCGCCGTGTTTCTCTTGTCAATGTGCTTTGTATCATCAGCTCCACCAACATTATGGCTTCGCCGGACATGGACAGCAAGAGATCATCTACTGCGCGCCTGACAGACACCCTTCGTGAATCACGCGTCGTGTCGTTCCCAAAGGATGGGTGGCAGCCTGCTTTTCGCACTGCAGCGTCTCCAAAGGTACGGATAGTTGTTTTTAGCGTGCATCCCTTTATCACATAAGTGTAGGGCAAACCTCAGCCCGCGGACAGCTGTTGGACGTACAGCCCAGGGTCCGTGAGTTAAGGGTGCAGCGGTGTAAATCGATAGACCAAAGGACTTTGGAAAGGCGATAATACAGTATTTGGATCAACAGTCCTGTTTTTCTTGCGTCTTCTTCAGGAGAATGTGCGCAAACCCGACCATCGATCGAACTGTCTGTAGGCCTTGACTGTGCTATTGTTTGGGTGCCTGTAAATTCTTGCAAAAATCAATTCGTCCTCTGCCACCTCTCAGCGCTAACCTCCGATCTGATTGGTTTTCCACAAACTTCGCCCGCCAAACTAACAATACATAGAAGAACGAGGTGGTTCGCTCTATCGCCGCGATCAACCCTTCTCCTTCTCCGTCGCCCTTCGACTGGGGGTTGGAGTCCTCTTCCTTTACCCCGGTGTCAAACAACGTCCTGAAGTACCCGACAGGCGGGTTCCCGCCCTCCTCCTGGTAGGGCGTTGTATTAGGTTGGGTTCTGTTCTATTTGCCTGGCCGTCCATGGCAAACTGTCGATGCCTTGTAGAGCCATGCTTAGACTTGGCGGCCGGCAATGTCGCCTTACACGGCGCATTTTTCTCGAAAGACGAGATTCTCTGCGCCTGGGGTATGTAGCTTGTCGTACTATTGCATGTTCAACCTTGAGAATTTTGGTACAGGAACGCGACAAATCGTGTTCTTTTTGATTGTTGGCGAATTACGAAGCTGATGATGAGCGGGGTTCCCCAGCGACGAGTGCTGGCGGCACGAATACTCCCTTGGCTCAGAAATCCGCGACAACAGTTCCGGAAAAGGCTCGCATTCGTACGATGTAAGCATTGCTATCGTCCTCTTTATGTTAGTGGTGGCGGTGGTGGGAATGGCCGCCTTGTGAGCCGTAACTAACGGCTCTGAACTTTTGCTTCCCGGCTTGCCTCGAAGGCGTGCAGGTGATTATCAGAACCCGCTATCCTTCTCTCACGAATGCCTCAAGTTCCCGGTACGCCGACCCTTTACCCCGTGGATGAGTATCAACCTCAAAGGCGGACAAGTAAAAAGGGCAGTCGCAGCACTGCTCTAACTTTATTCCGGGAGTGTTGCTGGACTCTCGGTGTATAAAGAAAGAGTGTTGTACGATTGGAGTGTAGAGCGTTCGGCTGTTGTTCCATGGGTTTGCGCTGCAGGGCTTGCGATGAATAGTCTGTTACCAGAATATATTTCAGCAGCTTGGTTTCTAGTAAATTTGGAAGGCTGAATAAGACTCCAACGGTAGTCGGTCATGATTTGCGTATTGGTTTTCGTATTTTTCGACCGGCCGGACACCTGGAGGCGGCTGCATCGGTCGGGGCACCAGCAAGAATGTTTGCAGTGAGCTTACAATGTAGGAAGAGCGAGAGGGTTTTGCCGCAGGTGAAAACATCAGAATCCACAGGCACTACGAGTGAGTAGTACCATCTGCTATACGCATTGCTATTCTCTCTGAAGAATTTGACTCCGTCCAAGTGGATTGGGTGGAGAGATTTCGAACAGGACAAGCACCGGCAGGTGTTCTCCATTGCTACACTGTAGAATTTGCAAAACTCCAGCTGGGTTTCGTTCGCGGTAGAAAATAGTTGTGCATCAGTCGCCGCATGGTGTATCGTATCTGTAGGTATAGCCTGTGCGCTTTTGCGGAACTGCTGGTCGATTTCATGGGGATTGCATCTCGGATCACCCGAAGGTAGTGTCGTGGTGGGGCCTGGGAAAGTACTTCGGGTGGGTACAGCGTAAAGTGAATACATGCCGTGATGCGTGCTTTCGACCAAAGTTTTGCCGCCTGTGGCGCATCCAATAGCTTCAGAACTGGCAGGCAGTCTTGAAAATCAATTTGTCTATGCTAGCGGTGTAAACCACATATTTCCGCAAGGGTGCTGCGCAGAATATACCTCAGCGATGGACGCAGCACGTGCTTGGGTTGGACGGGTTTTAGGAACGCTGCATACAAGTCTATTCGGCGAATTATGGCAACGAGCCTCCGGATTTTTCTGTTGCGTTCACGAGTACCAGCATTTTGGTGTCCCTCGATACAGTAGTCTACTGCGTGCACCCTTTTTGAGCCGGTCTTACGCGCGATGGAGCCGTTGGGTGGATTGCCTTTGTATATTATTGACATTAAGCGGTATCAACTTCGATGGTGTGGATGCGTTGCCGGAAGTCACCTTTTCGCGCCAATATCGGGTGTGATTGCTACGGTTCATTCATGGTTCGATACCCAGGACGGACTATGTTCAGCTAGAATGGGGAAAGTGAGCACTTGTAGAGATCTCGAAAACTGTTGTTCATGTCGTCATCTTCGGGGTGAATCGCAGTACACGGTAGCGAGGCAGGTTGTATGGTGAGACGTTTGGTTGAGGCGCTGGTATCTAGGCGGCGCGCCTGGTAGAAATTGGAAGAACGTTTGTCTGAATACGAGGCTGAGGGGAGAATGTGCTGGAACGTGCTGATACAGCATGATCGTCGCACGTTCTCAACACTGGCCACCGCCAACGCACACATGTATTAGACTATAGGTGAGGCACGGAACTTGAGGGAGATTTTGTGTTCAAATATTATTTATTGTTTTCCTTTCGAATTGCCTTCATCATTATTTTTCCACGGCCGAAGGAAAGAGAGAGGTGCCAACTGCTTCTCTCTCTTTCCTCCGAGCGGCAACCACAAATTCTCTTTTTCTCGGTGCAGGGGCTAATCTTACTGCCCGCAGTAGTCTCAGATGACCAAGTCCCCAAAATGGTACCCTACCATTTTCTTCGCCAATTAGCAACTGCAACGGTCCTTGCCTCCCCCCACCTTCGAAAGGAAAAGGGTGGGTGGGCGGGAAAGACCAAACTTGTTTGCCGCTCCTCCAGCTGGCAAACCACTCGAAGCCCTCACAGTGTCCACCTCGCTCCTTGTCTCTGCGTTGCTCTCTCTAGACTAGTCCTCGTAAGACTTTGTGTGAACACCTAGCTTCGATAGATTGCCGAGGTGGTGGCTACTCCCCTGCTCCCGCTTGGGAGGGGACCCCGTATTTCCGTAGCAATTTATGCATACCCTAACAACGACGTTACAAATTCGACTACTTTCAATAAACCTTGATTTGTTTCCGTCTGCTCCTACAACAAATCTCCCCTTTATTGTTTTCCTTTCGAATTGCCTTCATCATTATTTTTCCACGGCCGAAGGAAAGAGAGAGGTGCCAACTGCTTCTCTCTCTTTCCTCCGAGCGGCAACCACAAATTCTCTTTTTCTCGGCGCAGGGGCTAATCTTACTGCCCGCAGTAGTCTCAGATGACCAAGTCCCCAAAATGGTACCCTACCATTTTCTTCGCCAACCTCGAGGTCATCCTGCTACTACTCGTTCGGTGATATTAGCCTCCTCTTATGCCTACCCCACACCGTGCCTTCTCCTGGCTGCCGCTCGACTCCCTTATCCTTGTCCCCAAGTATACGTGACACCATTCGCGAGTCTTCCGTGTTGTCTACTGTATACGGTTTGTACGCATCAGACTTCCACCTTCCTGCTCTCTGGATTACTCTTTCCGAAACATTGCCTCCAGCCGCCAAGGTGGAAGCCCCTCCAATTCGGAGCGAATGTAACGCAAAATCCTTTGGATTTCGCCCTGACTTCTCGACAATCTCTCTCAACGCCCGAAGGGCTTGGTCATACTTCAGAACCTTCACTGCACGGCCGCTACGGTATGATGATAGCGGCGCATCATCGGGTAACGTTGCATGACATGACAACAGCCCCAACATCAGCGCAACTGCTCCGCCGTCTGCTCTGTACCCCGATTGTGGGCCGTTAATCTCATCCCGTGTACGAGCCCTGACCGACCCCGTCTGGTCCTGGTCACCCTTGTGTCCTCTAAAGTGCACCTCTATCTTATCCGCCTCTCGCCATCGGACATACTCCAACTGTTCCTCCCCAGAGAAAAACGCAACATCCCGTCTCGTGAGACAATGTACTGGATGCCCGACCCCGGAACTGTCAGCAAACATTTCGTCCGACCGAGTGGTCAAGAAATAGCTTAAGCTCAAACATAACCACATCACGCGTCCTCCTATTCCCCAAGTGGGAATCATGCTCTCACCCCCTCGCAACATCCTCCAAGTGATCGGCAATCGAACTCGTTGACGTACCCCGGCGACCGCGTGGGACCTAGAAATGCCCCGAAGTGCACACTTCAGCAACGGCGACGACGTGACTATCTCTACATGTGCTTCCACCCTGTGGTGGTACTGCACCGCTGCCAACTTCCCCGATATAGTCCCGGCCTGGTTTCCTTCCGACTCGAAACACCACGCCGCAAAGTCAATCAAGGCCCACACCATCTCTGTGTGCGGTGACTCTGCGCTCAAGAACTTTTCGTAACCCATCATCCTGCGAAAGACACACCAAGACCGGAAACCTGACGCGTAATTGCGTTGAGACGAATTCGCAACTGATCGTCCGATGAGCTTGAGGCCAAGACCGCGGAAGTAATGTCCGTGGCTTCTTGGCCCAAGAGTTGTTCCTGCCAGCGAATATCGGGCCGGTAGGCGTGCAAGTTAACAGCGATTTCATCACGCGTCCATCTCGAAATACCGTCAGCCAAAGTATTATGCACGCCTCGGATATGCTTGGCCCGAAACCGCCAACCGCTGCGCACCTCTAAGCACCCTAGCATACGCATAAGTGCTCCCGATCTAGGCTCTTGCGCCCCCCTGCATTTGTTGACCCAGTGTACAGCACTCATGTTATCTCCCCTCATCAAGATACTCTGCCCCGGGTACTCTGGCCGCGTCCCGGCGTGAACAGTCAACGCCCACGCCGTCAGCACCATGCCTAGCAGCTCGAACACGTTCACCGACAAATCGTCCCTAGATTCCACGCGGGTGCGAAGGCGAACTCGAACGTCTTCTTCGTAATCTACCCGCCACCATTGGCCCGTCTCCAAGCAATATCCTCCCATGCCATCCCCGCTCGCATCACTTACTAGAGTCAGGGAAGGCGGCTGCATAAAACAAGAGAACAGGGGAGCTCCCAATCTAGTGACACCATCGGCTCCCGTGGCCATCTCTACGACGAGTCGCCAAAAACCTAAATCATCGTGGGACTCCGGACCCAACTCCACGCGCCCATACCGTTTCGTGTGACGGTCAACAACCCCTGACGTGGTTGTGTCTTTCGCCGTGAGTGGCGCTAGCTTCAGCTGGTTCAGAATTCTGCACACGAAAAACTTGCCAGGCCGGATTACCTCACACAAGTGTAACAGCTTGCCTAGCAAAGATCGTACATCCTTGACTGACGCCGACTGTCGGTCTGTTGGCCACTCTGCCAGAAGCTCTCGCAGCTGTGCTATTTTCGCTAGTGGAACCGAAATAGTCATGGCCACTGTGTCTATCATCCAGCCCAACATCTCCACGCGCGTATCCCATGGGGTGGTTTTCTCCTGAGCAAACAGCGGGGGCTCTCCGGAG